CCTTGGCTTCAGCGCGTGCGCAGATCTGCAGCGGGTCAGGGTCGGGGCTTTGCGCAAGGGTTCAGGGCTGCAAAGTTCAGATCTGCTGACTCGTGCTCCCTGCTGTTGCAGAGGGGCAGCGTGGGGAGCGTGCATGGGCTGAGTACAGTACCGCAGAGTCACTGGCCCGCTGCAGAGGACAGCAGTGAGCCCGTTAGACCAGGGAAGAGGGGATGCTCCGTTTTCAATTTAGAAAATCTTCATTTACCTCTTAGTCTCAAGCAGTCCGTTTCCTACCACCCCCATCGCGGTGCACAAGCTGTATAAAACTGTGCATGGACAGAAACTTTTTAAAGCTAAATCACAAAAACCAGCACAGCTTACTTAGGTCATCTTTATGCACTTTGGCTCAGGTAGGGTTAGTCACTTGTTCAGCTGACATAATACGTCTCTCATCATGAGAGAGGTGAGCTTTAAAAGGGTCATAATTTAAATAAAAGCAGTCACAGGTACAAGAACTTTCAGACTTACTCTGCCAATTCTTGTGGTTTTGCAAGAACATATTCTTATTTGAATAAATAATCCCTCTTACTGTAAAACCCCCTCCCCACATACACACACCACACACACAAAGTAAATATTCAAGTGTACAGAGAGAACAATGAAAATTACTAAAAAAAATTTTGTCAAGTGGTGGTAGTAAACACATGGAAAAATTTTTTCCATTACATTTTTCTTAAATTTTAAGAGTTATACAGTAGCTATTTTTTTCCAGAAAGAACTCAATATTTCTTTAAATGTAGTGCTGGTCAGCCCCTTCATTGTTTATGAAGAGCTTTGTGATATTTAGCTAGGAGAAAATAAAATTGCAAAGTGTTATTAGGGGACCATTTCATGCCTTCTGTTTTTTAGTGGAGAATTATGCTTAAAAATGTATAGCCCATGATTTGCATTACTTGGTGTATTTTTTTCTACTACTGTTCACTGCTTTCTGATTATTACACAGGTGTGTGGGCTCTCGTATACTTTGTTGCCAGATGTATGAATACAATACCCTGTTTTAAGCCCACATCCTGAACACAGTAATTCTAGACATTCAAAACTTTAGCCCAGTTGAATTAATGTGCTTAAAATTTAGCACATGTATGTTTTTAGACTGAAGAAATTGGAACCATTTTGAAATCAACACTTCCTAAATGCAGTCATACAACACAGCACCCTGCTTATCAGAATGCTGAGCAGCTGAGAGTTTTGATACTTTGTATGGTGATTTAAGCTATTGTTTTATCACCATAACAACCAGAAGATGGTGATGGAAAAGCATTAGTGATTCACAAAATGTCAATAATATTTGTTGGTCATGGCAATGGCTAATATGAGTTGAAGAATGTGATTCTTCAGCAAAGAGAGTGGAAATACTATTAAGTTCGTTTAAATGCATTCAGCACTACTTACTCGGCATAACCAATATCAATTTATAATCTTTTGGCAGCAATAACTTTGCTTCAGACTGGATCATATTTACAAACAAAAACCTCACTCTACATCCTTGAGCTTTCTCTTTACCGGTAACAAGATAAAGAAGAGAGCTGCTCTTAAAATCTTTAAATCAAGATGCTGTCAGTTTTGAGATGCCTGTCATCAATAGAATGCCATGCAGCACAACAAGAATGTCAGACTCAATTATTGACAACATTCCAAGCTAATCAGAATATTATCATATGTTATAAAATTAATATGATGGTTATTGGACTCTATTTTCTAACTTTGTTGAGATTCATTAGTACCCTTATCTGTTCATGCTCTCCAATTACAACTGGTTTCTATGAGGAGAACTATGGAGTGGTAGGAATTTCAATTGGAGTTTTATTAGCGGGAGTAGTGTTGGCGTATTGTTAGTGGGAAGACATTTAAAGAAATGGGTCTCTTTCATTTAGAGACAGCAGAAAGAACAGTTTTAATTCAGCTGTTAAACAACATTATTTGCCTCTCTGAAACAATGATTTTTTCTAGAGGGAGCGGAATGAAGACAGACAAATGATAGATAGTTTGGCCCAGACTGACAAAGATATTTATGCCTTTGTTCATCTGAATCCATTGCATAGTAGATTGTTGGAGTTCTGCTAGCCCAGTAAAGCATAAGACAGGAATTGAATAGAAGAGATACACAGTGCTATATTCAAATCCTCTTTTTACATCATGTGAAGCAGGGTGCCATTTTATGTCTGTCAAAAGTCAAGAGGCATTCAAAAGGCGTCTATAATGTCTCCCTTCCCGACAAAAGAGTGGATTACGATCTAAGAGGGAACCTAATTTTTAATAGCGATCTAGTTCCTCCAAACTGAGTTCTGCAGATTGGCGTCTACTTGTAGAATTATCAAGTTGAACAAGACATGTTTTTTTCCTCAATAAGGAATGATACTAGATATATTCTGATGGTGTCCAAACCGATTTTCTAGTTCGGTAAAGTTGGTTTGTTTGTTTGTTGGGAGAAGGCATTTAGCATGGCAACAGCTTTTATTGACTGTACAACTTCAAATGTTCAGTGAGGAAGAAGTTCTTCATCTTTATGAACTACCTTGTAGCACCCCAAAAGCAGAGTTAATTAGAGAATTGACAGTTCACTTGCTACTATTATAGGATCCTAGAACTGGAAGGGACCTCGAGAGGTCATCAAGTCCAGTCCCCTGCCCTCATGGCAGGACCAAGGATCCTTTAGATCATCTCTAACAGGTGTCTGTCTAACCTGCTCTTAAATATTTCCAGTGATGGGGATTCCACAACCTCCCTAGGCACCTTATTCCAGTGTTTAACAACCCTGACAGTTAGGAAGTTTTTCCTAATGTCCACCCTAAACCTCTCTTGCTGTAGTTAAAGCCCATTGCTTATTGTCGTATCATCAGAGGCCAAGGAGAATAATTTATCTCCCTCCTCCTTGAAACACCCTTTTAGACTAAGAATGTTAAATATCGAGTAATTTACTAGTCAAGTAGTCGATGGAATTTCCATTGACTGCACAACTAGTTGATAGGCACTTCCACATTCCTCCTTTGAAATGTACAAGAGACCCAGTGGGGCTCAAAAGAGGAATTTCAAAGGAGGAATGGAGAACTCCATGTGCAGCCCAGGGCCAGCAGTGGCGTTTCAAAGGAGCAGCACTGCACAGCTGATCCTGGGCTCACCTGTGCATCCCTGTCCCTTTGAAACACTGCCCAGGATCAGCCCAGAATCAGCTGTGTGGTGCTTCAAAGCGGCAGTGCCACACGGAGCTCGGGTACAGGCTCCCTGTGGCGCTGCAGCTTTGAAGTACCCCCTCTTTCTACCAATTTGCTGCCTTTATCTAAGGGGGGGGAATCAACTAGTCGACTCGACTATCCAATGAGCATTTTCTTATCGGCTAGTCGACTAGTCCTTAACAACCTCTGTCATGTCCCCTTTCAGTCTTCTCTTTTCTAGACAAACAAGCCCAATTCTTTCAGTCTTCCCTCATAGGTCATGTTTTCTAGATCTTTAACTGTTTTTTTTTTGCTCTTCTCTGGGCCTTCTCCAATTCCTCCACATCTTTCTTGAAATATGGTGTCCAGAACTGAATACACTACTCCAAGGCTACGTCTACATTGGTGCGTTCTCACGCAAAAACTCTTTTGCGGAAAAGTTCTTCTGCAAAAACTCTTCCAGAAGAGAGCGTCTACACTGGCATGCACAAGAGATGTGCTTTTGCAAAAGAGCATCCATGCCAGTGTAGACGCTCTCTTGTGCAAGAAAGCTCTGATGGCCATTTTAACCATAGGGCTTTCTTGCGCAAGAAATTCATGTTGCCTGTCTACACTGGCCTCTTGCGCAAGAACAGTTGCGCAAAAGGGCTTATTCCTGAGCAGGTGCATCAGAGTTCTGGTGCAAGAAGCCCTGATTTCATACATTAGAACGTCAGATTACTTGTGCAAGAACATGCGGCCAGTGTAGACAGGCAGCAAGCTTTTGAGCAAGATCGCGCCAGTGTAGACACAGCCCAACTGAGGCCTAATCAGCAGAGTAGAGCTTAAGAATGACATCTTGTGTTTTGCTCACAACATTCCTATTAATTCATCCCAGAATCATGTTTGCTTTTTTTGCAACAGCAGCACACTGTTGACTCATGTTTAACTTGTGACCCCCTAAATCCCTTTCAGCAGTCCTCCTTCCTAGACATTCACTTCCTGTTCTATATGTGTGAAACTGAATTTTCCTTCCTAAGAGGACTACCTTGCATTTGTCCTTATTAAACTTCATCCTGTTTACCTCAGACTATTTCTCTAGTTTGTCCAGATCATTTT